CTGATTTTTGGTGAGCAGCGGGAATGCAGACGTGGCAGGGAGGTGAGCGGCCCTAAGTCACCCGTTCGTGGGGAGCTGGGAGGGGAATGGTGGATAAATCCTGACACAAAGTTGGTTGTAGCACCTGCTCTGCCTTCCCCCGTCGCCCCAGGGATCTTCCCCTTCCTCAGAGCAGGGCAGGAGCGTCCGAGGGTGCAGCCCCTTGGTGCTGAGCCACCCCCTCCTCTCCGCCAGCACCCGCAGTGCTCCCAGCCCCGCGCACAGCCATCGCTCCCTGTGATGGGTGCCAGCCCCCCCCCCAGCCCCGACACCCCCTTGGCTCCAGGCTCAGGCCCTCCCCAGCGTGCCCCAGCCCCTTTTAATGGGACCCTTGCTCACCGCCAGCTCTGATTAACCCAGCCCCCCGCGCTGGGAGCCCCAGAGCTGCCCTGCAGCCCACCCAGGCCCCTTCCAGCCCTGTGCCCAGTCCCTGCCGTGGTGAGGTCCCGCTCCTCACAGCCCCACAGGCTCTGTCCTGGGCCGGGGGTGTTCCCACAGGCTGTGTGGGGAGGCCCCATAGAATGTGTGGGGCCAAGGGTGTGACCCTATCGGCGTTATGGGGCTGCAAGGCCCTGGGCTCGGGGTGGCCCCTCGGTGAGGCCAGCTGCTCCTGCCATGGGGTGCAGGGGCTTCTCCTAGCACCCTTCGCATGGTTTGCTACCCCAAAGTGCCAGCTGGGTGCTCCCCAAGCAGCGGGAGCGTTGCCTTGTTTTTCCAGTTCTCCCAGGACGTGCGGGCAGGGTGGTGCCCCGGAGAGCACCCCACAAAGCGCAGACCCGGGGCGCACAGAGAGCTGGACCTGGGGTGAGAGCGCCCCGCAAAGCCCGGCCCCCCTGCTCGGGGGCGCGCGGAGCTGCCCAGCGCTCGTCAGCCCCCGCCTTTGCAGGATTCCCTTACTGGGGGGTTGTACCAGGCTGCGTCGTGGCCTGGGAGCGCGACTGGGTTTGTCTCGGTGGTGCTGAGGAGGGGTTTTGGGAACAGGGCGAGCCCGATCGTCCTTCGTGAGGCCGGTAAGGCTGCTGGCTGGGGGAGGAGTGGGGACAAGGGGCCGAGGTGCCTGTCGCAGACGTTCGGGAGGGTGTGAGCGGAGCAGTTTGGCTGGAAGAGCTGAACTGGATTAGAGATTATTGTTTGGTTCTCTGCTGATCCCTAATCTCTTAATTCTTCTCCGGGTGGTAGCGCTTGAATCGGAAGCAGGCGTGGACCCGCGTCAGAGGTGGACGTTGAGCTTCCCCCCTGCAAGGTGGGAGAGAGCAAGTCGGGGAGATGCTGCGGGGTTGGTGCCAGCACAGGGCGGCAGCTGGGCTCGTCGTTTCGGTTCGCTGCTGTCTTACGAGGCCGTCGCCCTCGAGCAGAGCAGCCAGCAGCTCTGGGGCAGCTGCCCAGACTCTGCCCTGAGCTACCCCAGGCTGACGGCCAAGGTCAGCCCTCCTGCCTGTCCTCTGAACTAAGCTGGAGCAGTTCAAAGGGGAATGAATGTGTGCTAATCGCTACATCAGCCCCAGCTTAGAAAAAGACTAGTTTTGTGCAGTTATCACCACCCAGCTCTGTTGTGGAGAGAGGAGGACTTCTCCTAAGCTCCTGCTTAGGAGCACCTTGAGGTCTTCTGGGGCTAGGAAAGATGGAGAAAAACTATGGCAAACCAATGAACTGAGATATTATGCTCTTGTATCGGCTTTAGTTAGGCTGTGCTTTGCTTTCCCTGGCCTCACCTTGAAGCTGTAACGGTCTTGTTAGCGAGGAAACATGCCAGGTCTGTCAGATGTCTCCCACTGAAATGCAGAAAGGCTTTTCACTGCCCGAGTGACTGTTGTATCAGGTCTCTGGTGAGATGAGGGCTCCTGCAGAGCCGTTCTGCCCACAGCCCGGTGTGTGCGAGTGGAGGCAGAGCTCCCCGAGTCATCTTCATGCTGTTGACTACAGAGGGTTTCCTGATGGCCACATCTGTGGGGTTACAAAATTTTTTTTTACAGTAAATCGGACTCTGGAAGCTCTGTTTTGATTCCTTCCTTCTGCTGAGGACTATTGGGACGTAATTCAATTCAGGGATTTAATTTAAGGGCTTGAGTGACTCATTTGGGGAAGAAGCCATTCTCTGTGGAGCAAGGTGGTGATACAGCTGCTGAAGGGTGGGACCTGGCTGAGGAGACCGAGGAGAGTGGTTTGGTCCTGTTTCTGCTTTTCTCTCTCACAAAAACTTACCAAAACCCAGAAGAGATTTGCAGTAAAAAGAGCTGAGCGCTGTTTAGAGCTCCGTTTCTAATTGTTAATTGACCTTGGCCAATGGTTTCCTTCCTCTTGTTTAACATCTTTATCAGTGATCTGGATGAGGGGACTGAGTGCTCCCTCAATCAGTTTGCAGATGACACCAAGCTGGGCAGGAGTGTCGATCTGCTCGAGGGTAGGAAGGCTCTGCAGAGGGATGTGGACAGACTGGATCGATGGGCTGAGGCCAACTGTATGAGGTTCAGCAAGGCCAAGTGCTGGGTCCTGCCCTTGGGTCACAACAACCCCATGCAATGCCCCAGGCTTGGGCAGGAGTGGCTGGAAAGCCGCCCATCGGAAAAGGACCTGGGGGTGTTGGTCGACAGCCGGCTGAACATGAGCCAAAGGACATTGAGGTGCTGGCACCTGTCCACAGAAGAGCAACAAGGCTGGTGAAGGGTCTGGAGAACAAGTCTGATGGGGAGCGGCTGAGGGAACTGGGGTTGTTTAGTCCGGAGAAGAAGAGGCTGAGGGGAGACCTTATTGCTCTCTACAACTATCTGAAAGGAGGTTGTAGTGAGGTGGGTGTTGGTCTCTTCTCTCAAGTAACCAGTGATAGGATGAGAGGCAATGGCCTCAAGTTGCATCAGGGGAGGTTTAGGTTGGATATTATGAAAAATTTCTTTACTGAAATAGTGGTCAGGCAATGGACCAGGCTGCCCATGGCAGTGGTGGAGTCACTGTCTCTGGAGGGGTTAAAAAAATGTGTGGATGTGGCACTTCGGGACATGGTTTAGCAGGCATGGTGGTGTTGGATGGATGGTTGGACTTGGATGATCTTAGAGGTCTTTCCCAACCTTAATGATTCTATGGTTCTATGATTCTCTTTTAGCAGATTTGAGGAGAACAGCCGGGATGCTGCATCGCACCGTTCATCTTTTCCGGAAGGGACTTCGGCTTCATGACAACCCAACGCTGCTGGCCGCGCTGGAGTCCTCGGAAGCCGTCTACCCTGTCTACATCCTGGACAGAAAGTTCATGACGTCCGTGATGCACATAGGGGCCCTGCGGTGGCATTTTCTGCTCCAGTCCCTGGAAGATCTCCAGAAGAATTTGTGTCAGCTGGGCTCTTGCTTGCTGGTTATTCAAGGAGATTACGAGTCTGTTCTTAGAGATCGCGTCCAGGAGTGGAACATCACGCAGGTGACTCTGGATGCGGAGATGGAACCATTTTACAAGGAGATGGAGGCCAACATACGATGTCTGGGAGAAGAGCTGGGGTTTGAGGTGCTTTCTCTGGTGGGCCACAGTCTTTACGATACCAAGCGGTACGTTTATTTTAGGATTTAGCAAGCATCAGGGAGAAAAGGCCGAGTATTTTTGTCTTTCTGCATCCTAATGTGTTCCTTCGGAGAAAACTGGGCTATCTGAGATGAGCGTGGCACTGTTTGCTGGAGAGTTTTTGTGTGTTGGTCTCCTGGAAGTAACAGAAGAGGTTTTGCATAGGCGTTAGGATGTTGGGCTGTGATTTCAGCCAAAAGAGTTTGTTAATTTTTTCCTTTTTGGCAGTTTAATTCACAGAATCCCAGCATGGCAGGGGTTGGCAGGGCCCTCTGTGGGTCACCCAGCCCAACCCCCTGCCCAAGCAGGGTCACCCAGAGCAGGCTGCACAGCATCGCGGCCAGGCGGGGCTGGAATATCTCCAGAGAAGGAGACTCCACAGCCTCCCTGGGCAGCCTGGGCCAGGGCTCCGTCACCCTCAGAGGGAAGAAGTTCTTCCTCAAGTTTGTCCCCATTGCCCCTTGTGCTGTCGCTGGGCACCACTGAACAGAGTCTGGCCCCGTCCTCCTGACCCCCACCCTGCAGATATTTGTAGGCGTTTATGAGGTCCCCTCTCAGCCAGAGTGGAAGGAATTTAACGCATTTAGTAGCACTTTCATACGCATTTTTTGTGTCAGGTTTTTTGTTAGTCTTTCTCGTTGACTTTCACCGGTGTCTGGCCACGCTCGGAGCCAAGCGGTCACGCAGAGCTGAATGACTGAAGGTATCGAAATGAATAATAACAGGGAGGTAAGCACTGGGAGCTAAACCAGCCTTAACAGTGCAGTCCTGGAAAGCCCCTCAGTTACCTAAATGAGTGGATAACTTGTGGCCTTCAACGCAGGCTGTCTGCACAGGTGGCTGCTCACGTAGAACAGTTATTTACTGCCTTGAAGCTGGGGTTTTTTTTTGTGATCAAAGTCCTGCACCTTGCGCTCTGCCCTCCTGGCTGTGTCTGGCTGCACAGAGCTGCCCAGCTGAAGCCAGGGCTGGCATCCCAGTCCCAATTTTGTTGCCTCGAGTCCTGAGAGACCGCTCTTGGGCTGGGTATACGTTCACCCAGGGGAGTTTTACTTGTAAAATCTGTAATTTCCACACTCGGTTGCACGAACTGGGGCTGTTCCCCTTCCTGTCCACTGGCAGCTCCAGCTTCCTTCTTGGTTTATATTGTGGTGAAAAGTGATCTTGCTTCTTTTTTTTAGGATTTTGGACCTGAACGGTGGGGCTCCCCCGTTAACATACAAGAGGTTCCTTCACATTCTGTCTCTGCTTGGTGACCCCGAGGTACCTGTCCGAAACCTCACAGCTGAAGACTTCCAGTGAGTAGCTCCTAGCCAGCAGGAAATTGCAGGTCCTCTTTCTCTGCCCAGAAGAAGAGCCGGGGCCAAATGGCAACGGGGTGTTTTAGGTATTACCTCGCATTACTTGTGTGCGTGGAGGGTTATCGACTGTACATACAGGGGATGGGATCCTGATGTTGCTCCAAAGACTTAAGGTTTTGCAAAGGCACCCTGAGACAAACTTTTAAGGTATGTGAAAGTTTAACCGAGGAACGACGAAGGAATTACAGGTCTCTTTCTCAAAGGCATGCTCTAGATTCCTCTCAAATTAAGATTTTAGGGCAGGAATTGGATGACCCACTGTAGTTTATTTTACGCAGGAGGTTCAGTGGAATAATCATACTGCTCCCTTCTGGCTTTAACC